CCCCCCCCCCCCCACTCTCTCCCTCCCTCCTTCCCTCCCTCTGCTGCCTTGCAGATTACCTTCATGTTGCTCAGCCAGGACCACGGAGACCATGTAGTCACCTCTCTCCAGCCGGATCCTACCTCTGCCTCCTTTCAGAGGCCAGAGGCTGACCTGAACGAGGCCAGTGGCTTTGCCAGGTTCCTTCCTTTGGCCAAGTTGCAGTCCTCGAAATACGCCTATCTGAAAGAAGGCACCTTGTTCCTCAAATGCATCGTGGACACCAGTTCGTGAAGCCTCGCCTTTCCGGGGTGAGGGCATTAATCAAAGACTGTGAGATGCCCTGAAAATATTTCAGGTGACTGGATGATGGCTGACAGGGCTTTGCAATACGGCTGGTTTCGCTCTGCAAAAGAGCTAATCTAGCCCTCCAATGATAAGATTTGGCCCTTCAAAAGGGCTGATTTGGCCCTGCAGCGAAAACGGATTTGGCTCCGTCCTGGAGCTGAGTTGTGTGTGTGCCATTTCCTTGTCTCCAACTCCGTTCCTTGTCTAGTCCAAGTCCAAAGTGGAGGGACATTCATCTCTTGTGTCATGTTTAAAAGCTCTTTTCCGTTCTTTGCCAAAGTTCCAAACTGGCACAGTAAGGAGACAAATCATTTTGCTAAGTGCCAAATTTGTGGTGTGTAGCGTGTGAGAAATGTCACATTACATTTTGTTTTGTTTTGGTCCAGAGTACAACAGTTCATTATTTAAAAAAAAAAACTGAATGGACCGAAATGGTATCAAAACCAAGTCCTAATTGTGTACAGTGTTTAGTTTATTTAACAGACAGATTAAACGTGCATCTGAAGAACCAATTCCAGAACTTACTTTAAATTTAAAAATACACAGTTGGGATGGAATGTATTGTACCATTCCTTCCTTCCTCCCCTCCCCTCCCCTTCCCTCTCCTTCTGTCCCCTCCCCTTCTGCCTTCCTTTCCCTTCCCTTTACTTTATCCATCCATCCCTCCATCCCTCCTTCCTTCCAACGGCTCTTTGAGTGTTTAAGGTTGCCCCACCCGTCCTAGACCCCTCTGAACGAATGGCTGCCCAGCCTCTTCTTCGAAACCTCCACGGGTGGAGCAAGCACAACTTCTGGAGACAAACCTCTCCGCTGATGCATTGTTCTTCTTGGTCAAAAGGAAGGCACTCCCTCCCAGGGGGGAATAAAACTCGTGGAGTTGGCACCTGCCTCTGCAAAAGGCCCGAAGAGGAGGAAGCCGGAGGAGGACATGCCCTGCATTTTGCTAGAACTGTGTCACAGCTCCCCATTGCTCCGCCATGACTCACAGCAGCCTCAGAAAAAGCGGCCGGCAAAAAACAAGGCCGGTGAAAATTAGTTTTCAGGCCAGCCAGCAGAAGCTGTGCCAGCAAAGGCGGGACTTGCTTCTAGCTCGAGCCGTTAAGTCCAAAAACTCAACAGGGAATTTGCTGCAAATGTCATGAGCTGGAAAAGTTTGGACAAAAGGGGTAGTTAGTAGGGTCTCCGGCTGGAGCAGGGGGCTGGACTAGAAGACCTCGGAGGTCCCTTCCTACTCTGCTATTCTGATTGTTTTCTTCCCTCTTATCCCACCCTAGACCGTTTATGGAGGGGGCTGTGTTCACTACCCCCCTCGACATTTCACTCCCGACCAAATCCGCTGTCACAGAATTCTCTATTGGCCAGGGGTGGTTGGACACCCAAGGAAATTGTCTTTGGGGCAAATGCTCTCAGTTGTATGTAAAAGAAAAATAAAATACATTCATCAAGAATCATAAAACACTTGATGATAGTCATAGGTTGCTAATAAGCAGTCAAATCAAATCCTACATACATATATTCAAATCATACATAGGTTACTAATCGGCAACCAAAAGGTGCTCGGAAAACAAATAAAACAATATAAATGGTGACGATACGAAAGCCGCCCGGTTCTATGGCTTTGCACCAGGTTGGCATCCTCTCGTTTGACTGAGCTGGGAGTCAGCCCAGAGAGTTGAAATCGGGGCTCTTGGACCCCCCCGGGACACGGCTGTTGGGGCAACATTGGGCCTGGGTTTGGGGCGGGAATTCTCCCAGTCCTTTTCCTACTTGTAAAGAAAGCAGTGACTGGCAGCCACGAGGAAGACAAAATGCCAGACAGTCCTTGACTTATGACCGCCAATTGAGCCCAGAATTTATGTTGTTAAGTGAGAAACTCGTTAAGTGAGTGGCTTCCGTTTTAAAACTCTTCTCGCCGCATTTCTTAAGTGAGTCACACGGTTGTTAATTGAATCTGGCCCCACCCCCCACCCCGTTGACTTTGCTTATTGGATGGTCGCAGAAGGGGATCATGTGACCTCGGGGATAGGGTGACCGTCATAACTATGAGTCAAGCTTCCTAACGTAAATCATGTGACCATCAGGGATGCTGCAATGGTCATTAAGTGCGGAAAAAACGGTCCTAAATCATTTTTTTCAGGGCCGTTTTTTTGGAATGGTCACTAAATGAACTGTTGTAAGTGGAGGAGGACGACTTGGTAACATTGAAGGGGGGTCGCAAAGCAGCAGCAGCAGCAGCAGCAGCAGCGCAGGAGCTGGAAGCCTCCAGGGCCCAAAGTCCCAGCCCTTCCAAACGAAAGCAGGCAAGAGGCGCCGCCGAAGCATTCGCGGGGCCTTTGCTTGGGTGGGTGGGTGTGACTCCGAGGTATACTGCCCCTGGCTATGGAGGCTCCACCCCGCTTCCGCGCGCGGGAAAGCCCGGTCCCGAAAGCTGGAGGAGGGGAAGGGGGTGGGGAAAAAAAGGGCTCGGATGCAGCTGAGAAGGAGGAGCCGGAGGCGGCGCGATGGAAACCCGCCGCGCTAATTTGCAGGAGCCCAACCGAAATAATTCGCGGGAAAAAGAGAGAAACAGAGAGAGAGAGAGAGAGACAGAAAGTAGCGTTGAGAAAGGAGGAGGGGTAAAGATGGCGCTCCGCCGCTTCCAGGCTGCTTCCAGACAACCTCGGCCACCGCAGGGCGCACGGAGGATCTGCTGAACGGGGAGATGCGCTCGGGATACCCCGCTCGGGGCTCAGAGGAGAGCCAAAGAGCGGCTTAACTTCTAAGGCTGCCTCTGCCTGTCGGGACCTTTCCTCCTCCCCCTGGCCATGGAGCCGGGCTGGGAGCCGACCCGGTAGCAGCCCTCCTCCCAGCCCACCCGCGTCCGGGCCCGCAAAAGAGGTGAGCGGGAGCACGGGGGGCGCAGGGAGGAAGGGGCGCCCCGACTTGGAAGCCCCAACTTTTTCTCTTTTCTCTGCAGCGCGCGCACCAGCCGGGTCGGTGCCAGGATTGGGGGGGGGGGGGGGGATGGCAGAGTCCGGAACGGTTTGCTTTTGCGAGCCACGCGTTTCCGTGAGTGTGAAAGGGTGTGGGGAGAGAATGAGTAAACGAGAGAGAAAGAAGGGGCAGAGAAGGAGAGAGAAGGGGAGATTAAGGGGGAGAGCTATTGAGAAAGAGAGAGAATGAGAAAAGGAGAGAAAGGGGTGGAGAGAGGGAGAAGATTGAGAGAAAGAGAAAAGGGGGGAGAAAGAAACCGGAGCAAACAACCGAATCTGGAGGCTTTCCTCGGGGCAGGGTGGCACGCAAAGATCGGGACTGACAACGGGATTGGAGCTGATCGGGACACTTGGGGGGTGGTGGCCTGGGGTCCCCTAACCCCACTGCCCCGTCCCCTCCGCCCAGCGCTGCCCGCCGCCCGTTCCCACCGCGCTCCTGGGCGCGCCAGCTTCAGGCTTGCACCAGCCTTCCCTCCCTCGCTGCAGGCGGTCTCCTCCCCTTGCAACCGGGGGTCCCAAGCAAGAGCGACCCAAAAGGAAGGTCTCTGCCCGGCGGGGAGGGCGGATCCGTGTTCCTGGCAAGGGGCGCCCCTCCCTCTTGTTTGCAAATGCGGCAGAGCGCCGGTCGGTCTTTCCCGGCTTATGCCCGAAAGGGAGGCGATTCTTAGCAACCTCCCGGGCTCGACCCGCCACTTCCTTCCTCCAGCGCAGAGGCGCTCCGCGTTCTTGCCTGGGTGGGTAACTTCACCGACCGCATCCTTTCGCTCGGGCTTCTCTACCCCCCCCCCCCGCCGCCGCAAAGTTTGACGCTGGAGACCCAGCCTAGCCATGATCAATGGAGACGATAGGTGGATGGATAGATAGAGAGAGATTGATAGATTATATTGATAGATTGACAGATGGATAGACATTGATAAATATGATAGATAGAGATAGACAGACAGATATGATGTAGAAAGACACAGAGACAGATGTCAGATAGGTAGATAGGATTGATAGATTTGATTGATTGGTAGATTGATAGATAAGGATAGAGATAGATAGGTAGATAGGATAGATGATAGGTAGGTAGATGATAGATAGATAGATGATAGATAGATAAATAGATAGATAGATAGATAGATAGATAATCGATTGATACATTGATACATTGATACCGATAGATATACAGAGAGATATGAGAGAGAGAGAAATGAAAGATAGATATGATATAGAGATAGAGATGAATAGATAGATTTTTGCACAACTTTGCACTTTAAAAAAAAAACACCTTTTGAATCAGCCAATGAAAGCATGTCAAGGAGAGAACCAGTTCTTAGTCATGCTGGGAGCTTTGCAAAGTTTAAAAAACAAACCAACCGGGGGAGGAAGAATTTCCTCCCTGTCCCCCCCCCTCCAAAAGGAATTGAAATTATAAAGTAAGGTGGTCCGGACAAACTTTCAAAGAGAGCAGCTGAGAAGAGGGAGGAGGAGTTTGGGAGCAGATCTCTCCCCTCCCCAGGAAAAAATGAGTGACAACCTTACAATTGGGGTGGGGCCTCCCTGGTTAGAAAGCATTTTCTTCCTTAAGTATCAAAGGAAAAAGGGGGGCTTATATCTGCTTCATAATCTGGGGATATTATTTATCTCCAGCCAAACTGCTAGAAATGCAACTGTTGTATGCCTTATTTAATTAATAAGTTTCTTTTAACACTCCTAATCCACCTCTTTATTTCAGTTTTATTTCTGAGTTTTGCTCAGTAAGTGCTGTTGTTAGGTTGATACTGTTAGTGAAAATCCGTTTGGAGAACGCTTGGCTTTACCAGAAGCTCACACCCACCTTCTTTCAAATGGATACAGTTCCAGGAGAATTGTGCAGAATTTGGAATTTGTTTTTTGTTTTTTTTAGGAATCTTATGTTGATGTAATCTACTATGACGTATCTCCTGGAAATGCAACATTCTTTGCCAAACACTTCTAGGAAAAAGCATTCAGAGCAGATAACTGCTTTTTTTTAAAAAATTCTTTCTCAGTGTTGCATTTGCATAATTGTGGGTTTTCTGAAAAGCAAAAACGGATGAATTCCAGGCCTCATTCTTGGAAAACCAAAGGCACTTTTTGAAATTTGGAATGCTTAACTAAGGATTCTGGGAAGTGAAGTCCAAACCTGCTAGGAGGCCCCAGAATGGGAAATATGACTAATTTTATTCTCTAAGTAAGAGTGTCTCATTTTAAGGCAGGGGTCTACCTATTTTAATAGACTAGATAGGTAGGTAGGTAGGTAGGATAGATAAGATAGAGATTAATTGATTGATATGATAAGAGATTGATAGATAAGATAGCAATAGATAGATATGAGATAGATATGATAGACAGACAGATAAATAGATATGATAGAGATAGATAGATAGACAGATGTGATGGAGCTATAGATAGATAGATGATAGATAGATAGATAGATAGATAGATAGATAGATAGATAGATAGAT